AGCCTTCCGTGTGCCCAGACTGTGGCAAACGACCAAGACCTGTTGCTGCTACTGCTGCTACTGGCGTCTCCAATTGCTCCTCTGCTGTTCCGCCCTCCGAGCATTGTTGTACCTGGCTCTCCAACCAGGGCAGTGAGCACCTGTTGGGCCAAATTGCTTCCGTCTACGGTGGTCGTCTGCCGCACCGAGCAGTCCTCTCAAATGACTATCTCAGCGGACTCCTCATCGGTCTCTCCACAACGACAGACGCTGAGAATGCCCAACTCTGCATGGCCACACTCTCGCCCAGCCTTATGAAAACTGTCCTGAAAATGGTGCGTCCCTGACCTGACTGTGACCCCGCCCACACTCTGGTCGCTGGTCTTGCATCTAGTGATGATTGAATGAATTGTTTGGCCTGCTGCTGTTAATGATGACTGTACTATTTTTTTTACAAAAATAGCCTACAATGGGTCACGCGAGAAACACGTTGAACGAGCATAGGGGGCTAACTGAGTACTTGGAACGCGTTTCTCCATAACAGGTGCGGGGGCAGGGGAGGGGGGGGAGCGTGGCCCGTCTAGGCAAACGCAGCACCGACTACCTGTGTCCAATTCGGCATCGGATAGCTGACCGTCTCGGACAGTGAGCTGGCGCATATTCCTTGTTATAGCAAACAGTCTGATGCGTTTGAATCTGCGACGGTACGCTAAAAACCTTGATCTAAAAGGCTTCCAACTGAGGGAGTGAATCGATCTTTCAGGACAGAGAGTCAGGGGGTCAGTGTGGTTCAGTTGGTGTGTGAGTTGCTCCTTCTTGTTCGTATGAAGATTTGGTCCATTGTGTGCCCACCGGACGTGATGGCACGTGTAGACAGACTGTTTAGCCAATAAAAGTGAACATACGAGTCCCAGGAAGTAATTGAGAACAAGACAACTAGATCGCTGTGACAACACTTTTATTCCCCTGACGTTTCAACATCCATCGCGGATTCATCGTCAGAGACGTAAGCATAAAATCGTAGCAGAAACGGGTAATACATGCACAGGACTGTTAAGAATTGCCATTCCCATCACCCGATTCCGCCTCTGGTCTTATTTACTCTTGCATGACACTGGGTTCAGGTTGATGATAGCAAAGAAAGTGTGGCATCTGTTGCCCTAGACTGATATCAGTAAAGAAATAATTAACGCACAGGCCACTGTCCTTACGCCTGTAATGCTTCAAGACATACCGTGAATATCGTAGCCTCTGTTATGAATGGCATATGCAGAAAAGTTACTGTATTTCCTTGTGTTCGTTTCTCAGAACAGCTGACGACACATAAACTGTTGTGGGAACATCTTGAATGCGTGGGTCGCTTTGTTGTGGAAAATGTTGCATGAGTTACATGTGAGGAGGACAAATTTGGATCAGCAACTGCGGTTGTGGACTTTGAAAGTTGGTTTTAAACTGTGCGTGCATGTAGCTGTTTGTAACTTGCTGTGCTGGAGACCGCTGTTTAGTGGGAGGCGGTGGAGTGGCTAAAGTTAACTGGACATAGAAAAAGCAATCCGTTCGGAATAACATGAATAGATGGGGCGATTAAGTCTCAGAAGCTAAGAGAAAATTCAGTAGAAGGCATAAATTTGGTCACAAAAACGTCTTCTTCCAGAAACTGGCTTTTAATCTTGGTGGACTTTACTCGTGAGTACTAGGAAAGGTCTAGGCTGCAGAGCGGTGTCGCAGTTGCACACATAGACGACGACGGCCACCAGCACTTCCATCCCCACGGTTACAACCACTGCGCCGTTGACGACGACGAGGGCTTCTTCCACTCCTACCCCTGAGGAGAACACTCCCGACGCCCTGCTACCCACTAC